TCTAATGGTTATAATTTTATGAAATTTGAGGCGATATTGGCTGAGATACATTAATTTGAAAATTTTGTAGCAATAGAGTTAAAATTAGGGGACATTTTCGGTGACCGTTAAGAAAAGATGAAATATATATGACATGCTTATGAGAGAGTAAATGTGCTCATTTAATGCGATTTACTGCGTCATATTTACTCGCTATTACTATCTATCGCATTACAAAGAAAATATCCAACAATATTAAAATTGCAAATCAAAAATTTTTCCAAAACTTTATTATATTATACAATAAAATTAATTTACAATTTTGGTTATAGATTTTCTAATCTAGGTTCTTTACTTTTAATCTTTCATGGTTTAAATTTATTAAATCTTCTTCTTCAATTTGTGACCATTCATTCTCCATACCTGCAATAAGTTCTCTATTATAAGGTCAGTATTTTTTTGGACTTATTTAAAATTTATGTCCAATTAGATAAATTTACAACACCAAAGATTATTTTTTTTTTAGAAAATTTTCTTTGAATAATAATAAATCATCATAATTCTCATGAGATGATCCCAGTATCCAAAGAGGTCGAAAAGATTAAATATTCTCATTCTTGTCGATTATATATCTATTAAATCACATTATGATTCATATTATTTACTATGTTCGTAACTCGATTTTAATAGCAAACTCTCATATGTCTTGAATACTAGAGGAGATTCTGATTGTAATGGGAGAGTTTAGAAATCTGAACTTTGTATGTTCTCTGCGCAGAAACTAATGATTGTAAAATACCATACCTAAGCTTGTTTTCTCTCATATAGTTGTAAGATTGCTGGATTACACTTCTCATCTTTCTATTAGTTTTGTAAAATTCAGGCAATATCTATTCACCCATATCTTGCAAAATTCGCGTTCTTTTAATTTCAATCACCAAGTTCAAATTTTTTCAAGATAGTGGCAAATGAAATCTGGTATGCCAATAGTATATGTTGGCCGTCTAGTATAATCATAATCTGATCCCATAAGTTTATTTAATGTTGAGAAATATAAAACCTCAATCATCCTTTTCATTATTAACTCTTTCACCACAAATTTTAGCCTGTCTAATCTCGGTAATTTATCAAAGCAGAAGTGATTTACTTCATCGAAAAAACCCCAAAGATGAACCCTTGATGGTGGGTTACTATTAGCCCTTATAGTACCCTTTGATTTGGTGAATATGTAATGGGTAGCGGATAAGATTGCGGGGTAAAACCCTTATCCCATATTGGTAAAAGTCAAAAATAAATTATCCAGCTTGTGGTGAAGATCGATGCCAGTTGCGTATGAGATAGTAGCTTGTTGCCACAAATTTTTGTGATATGGAGTATCTGGCGATCGTACCAAAACAGACCTTCAGTTTCGATGGTTTAGATGGATTTCGATAACAGGTTTTGACAGTTAAACGGGTATTGATAGCAGGTTTTGACAGTTTCGACATTTTTCATTTTTGATACCTGTCGAAACCTCTGGTTTCGCCCGGTAACCTTGTAGCAGAATACATGACAACGCTTTTTTAGGCTTAAACTAGAAATAAATATATGTTGAGTAATGTTACGAGGGAATTGATAATTTACATACAATAGAAACTTATGTAAAAACTTTATGATGACATGAACTTGCTCATTGGAAGTGAGGTTGAGGCAAAACCCTTAGCAAAGGTCGAAACCTTTGTTTTCAATGATGATTTCAATGGGTTTCAATTTTGAAAACTCCATGTTTTGTCTAGCAAACTTAAATGGTATTGTGAAAGGAAAGTATATCGTATCTTTTTGGTTACAAGAAATTCATCTTTGTTAAAAGATTTCTCAACTAAATTCATCATCATCATGATCATCAGGAATTTATATTCCATATTTTTTTAGTATACAAAGATTTTTGCATTCTTCTTGAGTCCTTGTAAAACATTTGCAAGTATATTTTCATGAACAAGACAGATGAAAGAAATTATGATTCGTGAGCAAATTTTTTGAATTATGAATGATTTCTTTCTCTTAATTCTCAGTTACATTTCATTTTCTTTTCACCTGATTCTACAGTAATAAACAGATTTAGCTTAATAAATCATAAAACCAATACACAATATATATTTATTTACTCACTTTTCCACGTTCTTCCAGTACGTCCGCAATCCGTTCTGATTTATGAGAGAATAATGACGTTATGATGCGACTTTATTTAGTAAAGGAAGGATCATTTACGAATCTTACTTTAGAGTGCGAATATCTGGAGTATATATCAATATCTAAACTCAGTAATTCTTGAGCAAAGCCCATTAATTCAGAATAGGAGTTACCCTTTCCTTTTCAAATTAAAAAATGCAACTTTTTGTTAAATCCATAAAAATTTTTTTTATTAAATAGCAACTTCTTTACTGCTTTCAAGATTCTTCCTACCCAAGTATCGAGGTATAAGCACTTGCAAGTAATGATGGTATCGCGATGTATGTTTAAGAACCCATGATAAATAAAATATGTTTTTATTTCGCTCTTTTATAAGAAATAAGAGCTTGAAGGTTGAAGTTTGGTTAACTATTAATAATATAAGTTGAACATGATGATCTGTCATCAAATTTATGAAAGCATGTAACCTATCTTTTTCATATATAATTAGTGATGGGACCCCTGAAATTATTATAGTTATTAATGCATTAGCTGAGTTATTAATTAATAATTAGGAATTTTCTTTAGATAAAATGGTTGTCATTTAATACAAATTAAGACGGTATCACATGAAAAGTATTATTCATGAAAATTAAGGTTAATTTAATAATTTCTTTTTTATTTATTTAATAATATTAATCTTTAATTTTTTCATAGCATCCAAAAAATATGATGTTTGAAGGTATTGGACTCATCATTACTGTATTAAAAACAATCAGTGCTTTTGAATACATCGAGCCAGATTCATTTTATTTTTTTTTTTTATTTTGCTTATTTGGATTGCTTCAATTTTTATAGTTTACTTTTTTTTCTACGTATGCTTCGTGCAGCAATTATTTTTTTCTTTTGATGGTTTTATTATCTACATTTTACTATTAATTGGTTTTATTTTTTAGGAGATTCTTTAGCAATACAACTAATTGTAAAAAGCAAGTAGGACTTTCTTTCTCAATATTTGCATAGTTTTACAGATTCAAACATAGCTACGAATTTTTCAAACTCTTTCCAGATGGCCGGACATTGCCCAAATTCAAAACTATTGAGTTATGAAGACAATTGACATCGCCTATTGAAGCTTCTTCAAACAAAAAAAAAACAAAAAAAATACTTTATTGTTGGTTGCCAAAAAATTAATCCTACTGATGAAGCCTTCGGTACAAACTCGGTAGATTTAAAGGTCACGCCTATTAAATTTAACCCAAAAAAAAGAGAGTTTTATATGTAAAAATTTTATCACGTGACTCGGAATAAAGACATCATTTGTAGACATGGATGCCTAAAGAACTTTTAACAGATAACCCTAACCTCAATTATACTAAGCACTCGTAGCGGATTTTAATGGTGCCATTTTAAAACAATGACACAAATTAATTTACAGGGGGTTATTTTAAAGAACGCTTTACGGTAATCCTGATTTAGTATGTGCATAAATTTGTTCATCTGATTAAATATATTTTTAAAATCGACGAATTGTAAAAAAAAATCATATAACTATAAGGTTTTTGTCAATATGAAATGCTGCCTAAGATTAGGATCCTAGCATATGATGTCATTCTTTGTTATTTACGAATGACGTATGATATCGTCGGATGATTGTTCATTGGCCAATTTTATTTCTTGAAAATACCGTAAATAGAGGATCTTACAACTTTCATTCTACCTTTATTCCAACTTTTCTTTACTTTTTGGTGGGTATCGTTTTTCGCAAGTTGTTTTAAAAATATTATTTACAAGGAGTTAACCAAAAATAACTTACATTTTATTATTTCAAGGAATCTTTAAACGATGACTCAAAGAACTCGACAGGTTCGCGTTCAAGGTGTCAGTCGTGTAGTTGTCGCGCCAAGGCGACGACATATTTCTTCAGCTCCCCTTTCTTCAATCCTCCCTTCAGTTCCCACCCCTTTAACAGCTGTATCTCCTTCTCTTTCCCCTTCTTCTACAGCTGCTTCTTCTTCTCTTTCTTCCGTTATTTCTTCTTCTCTCTCTCGTTCGACCTCTTCTTCTCCTTCCTTAAGTTTTCATCCTCACTCTCCCACATTTCCCGTTAGTTCTCCTACTTCTCCGACTTCCCCTACTTCAAGTATTTCTTCCACTGGTTCCAACTTTTCTCCTTCCCCATTTCCTTCTCCTATTCTCGCACCTTCTTTTGTCCCCCCTACTAACCTTCCTATTTTTTCTCTTCCTCTTTCCGTCCTCCCTAATACTACATCGTATCGTTCTCCCCCTTCTCCTCCTTCACCCTCTTCTTTAAGTTCATCCCCCTATTCATCCCCTTCTGCTTCCTCTGTTTCTTCTTTTCTACTAATTCTTCTACTCCTTCCTTTACCCTTCCCGTTTTTAGCCGTCCCTATATTTACTATCGTCTTCTTAGGTGGCCAGAGCCGATGGATCTTGATCCACCAGGCATTTATGTTGAAACCCCTTTTATCCCCCATAATCAGTAGCCTGAACCAATGGATCTTGATCCTCCTGGTATCTATGTAGCCATTGATTATGGTTTTATCCTTTCCCCCTCTTTTTTTTAACTGGCTGCCTCTCCTTCTATTTGTCGTCTTGGCCGGCACTAAAAAATTAAACTTATTTTTTAAAAAAAAAAAAATCAAAAAAATTCCCCTAATAAATTTTCACTAGGGTGTTTATCTTTTGGTAAGCATGACTACGATACAAAAGTATCCTATATATTATATGAAGTTGGCTACTTCATCTTTCCTTTTTGTAATTAAATTATTTCCTCTTTTGGCCACTTCATCTGTATTTCTTTTTAGTCTAGAATTTATCTTTATAGATAAAAAAAAATTTTTTATGCTTTCTTTATGTATTTCGATGATGTTTTGAGGTGAACTTACCTTTTATTTTTTTTTTTTTAAAAATTATACCCCATTATTATTCGTTTTCATATTCTTTTTTCACCTCAAGTGAGCTATCACATTTGATATGTGGTGGTTCAAGTTTTCTTTACCTGAACGAAGCTTGCCGGTGTTCGGGAGAAAACGGTTATAGTTTGAATTATAACTGGCTAAGCGCAAGCCTTAAAGTGGTAATTGAATATTAATATTTGTTAATACTAAATAAAAACTTTTGTAAATTTTACGAAAGATGTTAAGGATTATAAATATAATTTTATTTTTGAGAAAAATTGAAAAAGCTCGATAAAAAACAAAGATTTAAAAACATCCAAAATGTTTGAAAGTCACGAGTATGAAGTCACAGGACATATGCGTGACATTTTTTTTTTAACTATTGCCTAATACTTTGCATTTTATAAAAGATAGATACTTTGCAATATTGTACGTAAAGATAAATAAATCTCCTAAAAAAATAATTTAGTATCGATTCATAAAAAAGCTGGTGTACTGTTAATGTTGATGAAACAAAAAAATAAAAAAGTGAATTTTTTTTAATTTTATTTTTTTGCATGTTTTTATAAAGCTTAATAAGGCCGATTTAACATGATCTAGTTCTAACTGATGGTGCAACAAGAAGAATAATTAATTAACCATCATGTATGAAAATCCACGGCGGCTAGTAATGCGTCAGAAGAGGAATACCACACTGTATTATATTGCATTAAAGGTTTTATTAACACTTAATAATTAATATAATAAATAAAATTATTACAAAAAAAAAATGAATCAAATCAAAATCAAGTCAATTGTACGTTACAACTCTTTCAAGTGGGTTTGGTAGACGAGAAAAAAATATCTTCATAACAAAATTTTATATCTTTTCTCCTTATACTGTACAGTGGCGATCAAAAATAACGCATCACTGGAATAAAAATCGAAAACTATTAATATCACGTGATCTATCGATGATT